CTACAATCTACCTGCATAAATTATGCAAGTAGTGTACGACAGTCTACCTATATGTAACGGGCAAATGACTAAAGTACAACGCCACGCCACCGGATCTGCAATATGCATACAAGCGGACATAAGGCATGTATGAGCTTCCAAGTAGAGCGTTGCATTCAAATGACGGTTACCCTCTCGACTGATCAATGTTAAATATTCTAAAAATGTCTCCGCACATGCACCATAATTTGCATACACATAGGTACAAAAACAGGGTAAGTGCAATCATATACCAGCATGGGCCCCAGCGAGTGTGTTATGAATACACACGCGTCTAGAGATGTTGCGCGGGTCAATAAATAAGCCCAAGTTCGAGCTTGATTCTCCTGTGCGGGTAGGCAGGAGTCCACAAGGCTCAAATACTTAAATAAATATACGGTCACGACGTCGATCAAGATATTTGTTTTAAAACATTCATATTAGGCCTTCAACAAAGAAAATTCACCAATAAAGGCGTAAAGCCTATGACAAACTCGATCCTCTGTCAGCAAACTAACAGAGTCAACAAGGTTCAATAAACAAATTGAAATGACCCCAAACACTCTGATGATGGCCGTAATGAATGTTTATCTCAATCGGAGGGATCCACATACAATTTCAAATACTTCCAAACTTCCACAAGATTCAAATTTCTACAAAAATATAAGTGACTTTAAAGTCACCACGACGATGGACGTGTTAAATACAGATTTCAACCGGATGGGCGATTCCAACATTCAAAGCTCCACCCAAATACCCGCAAAAATCCTATAAAATCACAAAATCCAAAATATTTAAAATTGAAATAACTCATCAATGCTTAAAACAAGATCCATCCACCCTTTGCAATAGTTTGTTGGGGTGGACAATCTGAAATTTACTTCAGCTCACATAAAGCTAATGTCGAAAATATCATTATGATCCATTCTCAAATAATCTCCTGCCAATAAGGACGTGGTACGTGTCCTCTGATCGGCAATTTTGCAGCCAAATGACACCGCAGGATAATCAGTTATGACCCCGGGGCCCTCTGAATTGAGAGATTTTGCCGCCAAATGGCACCACGAAATACCGGTTATTGATAGAGTCAATACGTTCCTTAGTGATATCAAATTCTTGAGATATGAATAAATATGATATGATTGATAGGGCACAAAGCCCTTTGTTAGCTAAGGTGGATTCAAATTTGTCCCCTTAGACAAACATCCAACCCGGGTCTACAAGGTCCCCTTTAGACGAAGCAACCCATGGTTGCCGACAAGGATCCTTCTGTCAGGCTGGGTCTACTGCCTCCTCTAACTAAGTAGATCAGGGACCACGATAGCCCGGGATGACAGAATCATAGGATCTTGAGCGGGTCCATCATCCATTACCCTACCATCCGTTTTAAGTGCAAGATGGTGCAATTTCTAATTTTAAATATTAAATCTCTAAACTTTTTAATTCTCAAACCCATGATGCTATTATATGTCAGATAGCACGTATCTCTACGTATCTGATTGATGACTAGCCTTAATCAAAAGTTCTCTCTCGTTATCGGGAGGAGTAATTAACTATAGGGGCTTGCGCTTATAGGAAACCAAAACTCATATCATAAAGTCCTCGCAAAATGAGGATGAAATCTCCGAGCAGTGTCTTATCTACAAATTCATCAGCTATCCCAAAATTCCTCGGAACTTAATCCATTAAAACTATCCCGAAGAAAGAAGCACACGGGCGGAGGCCGGGGCCGAATTTTTGGAGCCCACACACCATCTTATAGAATTTTATTTAAGTTTGAGGGGGAACTTTTCTATCGCACAACACGCCGATGCATTCCTCCACTTCAACTATACAACTTGAATTCTGCTAATAATATCCCCATCCATTTCACCATCACTCTGAACAATAGATCCATGATATTTAAAACGTGTACTCTTATTAATAACTTGATCACCCAAAGTCACAATCCCCTCACTAGGTCTATTGCTACTAAAATTACACTCCATATATTCAGTTTTAAATCTATTCAAGAGAAAAACTTTAGACTCAAAGATTGACCTCCATAATTCAAGTTCACCTTCAACTCCCTCTCTAGTCTAATCCACAAGAAGGATATCATCAGCAAAAAGCATACACCAAGGTACACCCTCTTGTAAATGTCTACTGAGAACATACATGACTAAAGCAAAAAGATATGGGCTTAAGGTTGATCCTTGATGTAATCCAACCGAAATAGGAAAATACTTGGTCAAACCACCTTATGTTTGAACACAAGTAATAGCTCCTGCATACATATCTTTAATCATTTGAATATAAGCGTTATTAACTCTTTTCTTTTCAAGAACTTCCATAGCACTTCTCTTGGAACTTTATCATATGCTTTCTCTAAATCAATAAATATCACATGTAGATCCTCCTTATTCTCTCTATATTTCTCCATCAAACCTCTCAATAAATGAGATAGGATATTTGAAACAAAACTCCTTCCATCTATATGGGATGTATTCTCAAAGTCTGAAAAGAAGAAGTTAAAAAGAAAAAATAATCATGAATAGAAATTAATTAGCTCTAGCTAACTACCATTAAGAATTGACACTCGCTTCTCAAAGCATGTTTACCTTTTATTAATGCCAAGCCTTGGTTTGATCACTATCAGAAATCTGGGCACACAAAGTAAACAAGCTGAAAACTTTATGGGAAGTCTGCTAATTGGAAACTTAGAAACAAGGTCATGGTCTCCCTACATCTAACGATGATCCTCAAAACAAATACCAACCCCTTTTAAAGCAAGAGCAAATTGATATGATGCAAAAGAATCTTAGCTAAATCCATACAAATCCACCCACATCTAAAATTAACACCATATCAATGGCTCAAAAAGGTATGATCTTAAATGCATTGAATTCAAAATTTGAGAATTTTCCATCCTGGATTGTGGACTCATGTGCATATATGATAAGGGAAGCCTCCATATTTCATAATATAAATCATTATTTCAACAACTACATAGTAAGGATTATGGAAGGATCTATCTCACTGCGCATGCTCTATGATTCCAAATTCAATCATATTGGTTGCCAAACTTTTTGCAATCTCTTATCTATCAGCAAAATTAACCAAAATATTAACTGTGTTATTAAACTTTTTTCTACTCATTTTGAGTTCCAAGATGTGATCTCAAGAATGATTGACCATGCTATGACAAATGTTGGACTCTAGATCTTGAATGTTAAAGAAAATTTAGAATTACAAGTAAAACATGCTTAGTATGTATCCTACCCTAAATAGAGCATAATCATGTTATAACGACACCTCTATCTTGGTCATTCTAATTTAAGTATGTCAAAAAATTACTTTCTTCTTCATCAATAAAAATCCGAGTCATTTCAGTGTGAAACTTACCAACTGTCAACGCACACCATGAACATGTATTCAATTAATAGCTTTGAGTTGTTTAAGTCTTCCTACTTACCGGAAATGTACATGGACTTATATGAAACACAAGATTAGTGATTTCATTTATTATGACACCTAATATCCTCAGTTTAATGCCAGAAAATCTTTCTAGCATGAACATCCCCAACAACATTTGTGATGCATTAAGAATACATGAATGGAGAGATGATGTCCATAAAAAAATAAGTGCATTAAAAAAGAAATGACACATGAAACTTTTATACCCTACCCAAGGGCAAGGAGCATGTTGTGCACAAATAGATTTTCAATACTAAATAGAAGCTTGATGGGAGCATTGAAAGGAATGCGGTGAGACAAGCTGCAAAACGTTTACTCCAACTTAGGACATTCATAATCAATAAATCATTGCAACAGATGCTAACATTAATTTAGTCAGAGTTATCCTCTCTTTTGTTGCCAACATGGACTAGTTTCTTAATTATCTAGCAAAAATACCTATTGAAATAAAGATCATGAATATGAGGTTTGTATAACTACGCCTGTATTTTAGATCACTAGTAGTAAATATAAAGTTTAAAAACTTAAAATTATTTATAGAGTAAAAAACAATCACCATGAACCATACTCACTGCAACAATTAAAAGACATTATTACTCTCAAAGATTGGCATTTTTTTTTTTCGTCAATAAACCATCCAAAGGTGAAATCACGATCCTCATTGTCAATGTTGATGATATTATCTTACCTGATAACATAGAAGAAATGATTGGCAGACTAAAAAAATATTCTAGCAAATACATATAAATTAAAGATTTTGGGGTTTGAAAATATTTCATTGGTATAGAAAAAGGCGTACTATTCAATACAGGAATAAATTAGAATATGTAAACATTCACAAATGTTTATTAGGTGGGATTTGTAACTAAATTAATTTTTTGGCTATAACTCAAGATAATTTGGATAAATTTCATCACAAAAAGCAAAAATAAATGGTTGATAAAAATGTTGTTGAAGCAGAATTCAGAGTCATCTAAAGATTTTAACTAATGATGATGATGTATGACAACCAAGCTATAATCAGCATTGCCAAAAATCATATCAACCATGATAAGACTAAATATATTGAGATTCATAGACACTTCATAAAAGAAAATTTTGAACAAATAATTATCAAAGTGATATAGACCCATATAAAATCTCAAAAAATTGCTATTCTAATTGAAAAAAAAATAATCTATTTTTTAAGAAAAGAATAGATTACTTTGAGCCTGTAGACAGAAAAATATCACCGAAAATATAAGATTCATTAATATAGAAAGCATAAGAAGGAAAAAGAGTACAATAACCACAATTTATCTTAAAGACATGATAATAGAGTTCCATAGTTAAACTTAAAGCAACAAAGACATCACTGAACAAAAATAATCCAAAAAAAAATGTTCATTAAAAATAATTGGGATAAGGCTAATTAAGATAACGATAATTGCTAAAAGTACAAAATGGTTATAGCACAACAATAAGCATGAAAACATATAAATTTATGATAACTATGAAAGATTTAAAGCAATTAGAGGATAACTCACCGTTCCCGAATTATCTTGAAGGCTTCTATTGTTGCATAAGGTAAACCAGTCTTAGGGTCGCGATACCTATAATTAGAAAATAACAATTATTTCAACATGTATTTTTATCAATACTTGCTAACAAAATGTAAACTGCAGATGGAACTTTCTTGATTGAATTAACAAAAAAAGGAAATATATGAAAACTACTAGCACGTCACAAACACTAGGTATTATCATCTTACTCTCTTCCTTTGGGTGCACATGTGAGTATGAGAATGTACCCTTAAATTATATTGTTTTTTTTTACAAAGGGTATATTGGGTTGTAGATATTATGGGTATATTGTAAAATAAATGTAGAGGTTTTGGGATTTGTAATGTGGTAATGCTTTGAGGAAGAAGGAATAACCAAGGGGTATAAGCAAGTCAAGCAAAAAACCTAAAAATATTTAATAAAATATATCCCACTTCTTTTTATCAAGTGATTCTTTGTAATTTCTCATTCTTCTTCTCATTTTATTATAATAATTATTTAAATCATATTTCCTCCCTTTCATAACAAATGAGGCGACTCGTGAGCCAACCCGAACTCATAAAATTAAATTCAAGCTCGAGCAGGAACTTGATTACTTAATCAAGCTCAAGCTCAAGCCAGGGGTGACTCAAGCTCGGCTCAACTTTTCTACACCCTAATAACCCCATTAACCTATTTTCAGTGTATTCATAATTCATGCATGAATTAGGAATATGCAGCTCAAAGTAGATCACGACCTCACTACCACCTACATGCAACCCTACCAACAACCCACACCTCATGTGACCACATTGATAGGAAATACTTAAGTTCGCAAGTAACCCTAACAAGAAATAGTTGAGTTCGCAAGCAACCCTAACAAGAATTGGTGAAAACAACGATAAAACTTCAAGATCTCCAATGAAAATAATAAAAACGGTAGATTGTATTATAGGAATAAAACCAAAGACAAGAACAATCAAAGATACAATTGATCCTCAATTCGAGAGGACGATCGTTCTCTCTCAATCTCTAAATGATGAATCTAGAGCCCAAAGCCGCCAAGAGAACTCCAAGAGACACTACAGGAAATTCAGCTATTACCGGCGGCTACGAACGACGGTCCTGTAGCGAGAAACTATAATCAAAACATAAAAACCTTACCTACCTTCTCATGCTTTTAAATACTCCACCTCCTAATAAAAGCTTCCTAATATAAAATAAATTCAAATTAGCCTCCTCATGCTTAAACAACCCTCTCTCTCTCTCTCTCTAATTGCCACCTCAAATTAGCCTCCTTCAAATTAGCCTCGTTCGATTAGAGCTCGACGAGCTTGAACCTATTCATGAACTGAACTCGAAAAGCAATTTTTTAAACGAGCTCGTCGAGAGCGGGTTGCCACCTCAAATTAGCCTCCTTCAAACTAGCAATTTTTCTAAGGCGACTCTCTCTAATCTTATCTTCTACAGGAGCTATTCCAACCTTTTCACGTATATGCTCATTTGGTATCCTATCTCTAAGGGTAAAGCCACTCATCCACCTGAGCATCCTCATCTCTGCCACACTTAACTTAGTACTATGCTTCTCTTTTAATGGCCAACATTCGGCACCATAAATCATTGCAAGCCTAACTACCATCTTATAGAATTTTCCCTTAAGTTTGAGGGGTACATTTCTATCACATAACAAGCCAAATGCATTCCTCCACTTCAACCATCCAACTTGAATTCTGCTGATAATATCCCCATCTATTTCACCATCACTCTGAACAAATGATCCAAGATATCTAAAACGTGTACTCTTATTAATGACTTGATCGCCCAAAGTCACAATCCCCTCACTAGGTCTATTACTAATAAAATTACACTCCATATATTCCGTTTTAGATCTACTCAAGCGAAAACCTTTAGACTCTAAGGTTGACCTCCATAATTCAAGTTTACCTTCAACTCCCTCTCTAGTCTTATCAACAAGAAGAATATCATCAGCAAAAAGCATACACCAAGGTACATCATCTTGCAAATGTAAAGTGAGAACATTCCATGACAGATAAATTTGGAAGAACAACGAGGGAAAGAAAAAAAAAATTGTTTTTTTTTCAATTATGTATAGATTGTTTCCTAATTTTTCTCTATTTAGTAGAAACATTTAATTGAAGATAAGAGAGACAATTGGAAGTGAGAAGAGATTTGAGAAGAAAAAAAGGAAGATTTTGGTATTTGAAAAATCCCCTCATTGTAAGTAAACTTTCATATGAATTTTCTTAGATTTATTTTTAAAAGAATATTTGTTTTATGAAAATTATATTGTGAAATTTTAGGAATTTTAGAAGGAAAGAAATCAAACTATAGCCTGTAGGATTCAACAAGAATGAGAATTAAAGTTGAGGTTGTGACAAAGATCGATTTGAAAGATTAAAGTAGGTAATTATAATTATAGTTGTGAAATTTTAATATTTTATATTTTCTTTCAACATTACATAACATTTCATATCATAGTTTTGCTTAAAGGTTTTACTCCTTTTTGGAAACTAGCATGTGTGAAATGATGTAAGTTTAAATGCATAAAATAATATAGATATTGTTACAACGAAAAATGAATGAATAAAATGACTTGAATGGAATTGTGTGAATATGTGAAAAAGGATGTATAAATATGTATGATACATGTATGTCTTAAGAAAGTATGCATACGAAGAAATGGTATATGAAAATGAATCAAAATAAATTAAATAAATGTAAAATAAGTAAAAAGGATATGCATGCAAACTTATATGAGTTCACCTTCGTATAGTACAAGTTGGGGAAACAACATACTCGTGTACGAAAAAGGTTATTGAAAAGTAAATGGAAATGAAAATGGTTGTACCTTTGGTACATTTAGACGGTGCTCTTATACAAGTTAAGTGGAAAAAGAAATAAATATTAAAGCTTTATAAATGTTATAAAGGAATATGATCGGATATGTATAAATGATTGAAATAAATAAAATAAAGATAAAAAAGAGAAGAATTTGTATATTGAAGGTTATATATGTATTGTATATATATATATATCATTCCATTAAATAAATATTTCAGGTAAGTCTTCAGAGATTTAGAAATGACATAAAGGAAAAAATTTATCTATAGAAGACAACACAACACTGAAAATAGGTAATTTATGAACTTTACAAATGTTAAATATTTGAGGAATTTTGTTAGTGGCTCTTCAGATAAATTAATAAAATTTAATGTTTTAAGGTTGTATTGCTTATGAATTAAAAATACAAAAAGCCTTATTCATTGATACGGGTCTTTATAGGGAGCAATTGAAAAAATGCTTAAACTTTGCAAGAAACTAGAGTCCTCCAATAAAAACTCTTTCTTCAAGAGGTATATTTTGTATTAATTCTTCTAAGTTATTCCAAAAATTTAATTTAGAACTTATATCCAAACCTACTTGAGGAGCATAAGCACTTATAATATTAACAATCTTATCATCAACAACAATCTTTAAAGCTATAATTCTATCTCCAATCCTATTCATTTTTATAACATTATCTTTTAAACTCTTATCTATAATAACACCTACACCATTTCTAGTACGACTCCTACCCGAATACCAAAGTTTAAATCCTAAACTATCAATTTTCTTAGCCTTCTCTCCAACCCATTTAGTTTATTGAATGCACAAAATATTTAACTTCTTATGAATCATAATATCTATTAATTCCATTAGTTTTCATGTAAGGGAACCTATATTCCAAGTTCCTATCCTAATTTTAGTTTCATGGACTAGCTTCTTTGCCTACATCCGTCCTTGATGTGGGAACCCTTGCCTATTTAACATTGCACCCGGGCGCCGGTGCAGCGGCCCTTGCACACTTGTCACTGTATTCAGGCCATACAACGCGTCGCTTCCAGGGGACGCCCTAGCATTAACACAATTTCTTAAAAGATTCATGTCATTATTGTTCGACAAGTTTTATGCTGGCTGTCGACTACCTAACGCAACCCTCCACTTTTCTCATCCAGGACTTGGGACCTGGCAACGGCAGTGTGTACAAGCCACATCCCAATGAATGAGTTTTTTGCCATAAACACACATCATTCCTCCTTTATGATCTCTTAGGACTCCTGCCAATCCTGACATATTAGATTGCAAAACTGATGCATCTACATTCAACTTAATCCAACCTTCAGGTCGGGGACACTAAGCTTTAGACAGCATTTGCTGATTGGAGTCCCAGTTCTTTTTTTTGTTGGGATTGAATGTGACGAACAAAAACTCGATAAAATTTCTGTTGCTACAAAAGATGATGACGGTACTATCTTTCCATGCTTTGCCTTGTTTCGAACTTTCCAGTTGTGGTAAACAGCCACTGCATATAATTTAGCTAGACCAACATGACTTTTTCCTGAATTCTGCAGTTTAGCAACACATTGAGATTTGTTTTGAAACATTGGAACATCAATTCCCCATTTCCTTAAAATATTCAATAATTCCAATAATTTGGCATAACCTGTTATGATATGTTCTGTATCTTCAACAATTCGGTAGCCACGAGGACATTCATTTCTGCAATATAATTTTCTTTGATTAAGTCATACATTGGTTGGTAATGCATCATTCAACAATCTCCACCAAAACAGGAATTCTCTTTGAGATATTTGTAGCTTCTTCATCCATTTCACATTACTCCATTCTCCTTGTTTTTTGCAATTTGCTTTATATGACAGTGAACAAATAGATCTACCCGTATCACTGTTTTTAATTCAATACTATCTTCCCCTATTTCGTTCCCAATGGGAATTTGAAGAATCAGCTCTCCCATTTCTTCAGAGAAATAATTTTCCACTCTCTCCTTATCCCACGATCCATCAGCACTTATTAGAAAAGAAACATTTTTACCGCATAGGTCTTTTGCATTACTTGTGGACGGCCATTTCTCTAGATTTTTGTCCAGTAACCATGTATCTTTTAATATGTCAATATTCTCACCTGATTAAATATTCCATCTTGTAATTGGCTTTAGATAGTTTGCCCCTTCCTTAATGTTCGCCAAGTATGAGAAGCATTCCTTTTTATTC